AAAGGGGGCTCGAAGCTCAAGCGGTCGTTCCACGTGAGCAAAAGAACCTCGTTCAACCCGGCTCCCACAAAGACTGGCTGAATCAGTCCTGGTTGTTTTGGTTTGAGTGTTCTTATCAATCTTCAGATTTGCAAGCAAGCGGTGATCGTGGGGAGGCTGAACTTAAGATCCTTGCCACAGCCAGAAAGACCTCACAAACGCACAGACCGTGTAGAACCAAAGAAATGTGTTCATGCACAGTCACTGCATACTGTATCGTATATCGTATAAAGAATGAGCCCCTGGCTTTTGGTGCCCTTACTTGCAACAGCGATCTAACCACAGACTGTTCAGGCATGGCTCGGATCACTAATCCCCGAAGAGTCTCAATCTAGTTTGGGCCACAGCTGACCCCGGTAGGATTGGCATTCAACGGAAGTGCAACAGTTGAATGGCAGCTGCACTGCGTGACAAAGGGCACCGCGGGAAACGCACCTTTGATCCTTGCCCGGATCTTCCAACCCATCGAAGAAGTAGCGCCTGGCACCGGGTGGAATCCGTATAGACATTCGCACGTGACACGAGCTCCTCTCAATGGATTTGGAAAGATTGAGGCTTGCCTTTTTCCATGTGCTGTTAGCCAGCAAGGGCCAGGTCCTAGGACCCTTGCAGCCACGAACATAAGAACAACCCCCTAATCACGTGTTCATGAGGATCACTGTGGATACCCGCACGTGAACATACCCAAGATCGCAAGATATCGAGCCCAAAGATGATTCGATACGCAACAGCTTGATGATTTTGTTCTTATAAGTCCACAACAAGCTCATGGGCCCTGGCTTGAACATCGCAAGCCACAAAAACAGAACTCGACCAGCATTCACTCGGTCTCAGCATATGCCTTAGACGCGCAACTAGCAAACACAACAAACCAAAGCATTCAACCTAAACATGGAACCACACTTACAACAAAAATGATACAATTTAGCTAGGATGCTTTTCTGCCAGCAGCGGCACACTCCTCGGCACTTAAGCCGTTGGCCTTGGCTTCCTTCTGAGCTCTCCTATAGGCCTTTGACTTTCGAGCATTCTTCTTCTTGCTCTCAAGCCTACTGCTCGAAGGATCCGGCGTGGCCTCGCCACCGCTCCCCTTGGCAGCTGCCTTGGTCTTGGTGGGCTTTGGCTTCTTGGTTTTTGACTTCTTGTCAGGCTTCCCACTCTCGGATGTCTCACCTGCTGCACCCTGCGGCTCTTCCACCTCCTCCTCACCCTTGGCCGGCGTTGTCTTACGCTTGCGGCTGGGTTTGACGGACTCAGCATCTTGCTCTGGCTTGGCATCAGCGAGCGACTTTGCTTTTGGCTTGCCTTTCGCTTTTGCCTTTGCTTTCGCTTTACCAGCAGGGGCTGCAGTCTTCTTTGCTTCCTTCTTCTTCTTCTTCTCTGGCTCGCCTGTCTTCTGCTCAGCGCTACTCTTCCTGTTCTTGCGAGGTCGTCCCCTTCTCTTGTTTTCCTTGTTCATCCCAGCTAGCTTGGTTTGCTCTGCTGGAGAGATGGATGGTTCCTTGTCGACTGAAGCAGGCCTTTTGTCTGACCCGTTGTCATCCCCAAGATTCTCAAGGGTCCGAGTGGCAGCATCTTCAACTGCTGGCACAGGGGCCGCAGGGGCGGCAGCATCTTCAACTGCTTGCTCTTCAATTGCCGGCACAGGGGCCGCAGCATCTTCAATTGCTGGCACCCGGGTTGCAGCCGTATGTTCAACTGTTGGCGAAGGTGTGACAGAGGCATTGACAATCTCCATCGTCTCCGTCGCAGCAGCAATAGCCGTAGGTGTAGCGTGCTCAGCAGCCTACAAAGCGCATCGCAAATCGACCGTATATATAATAGCTATAGGCCACTAAGTCAATAGCTTGGCAAGGTGATTAATGCAAATGGTCAATCGATGAGAAAGTATCATGCAACAGCCTTGTCATGTGCAGGATCATGACCAGCTGGGCTCTCTCTTGCAGAAGAGGCTGGGAAAGAGGGTGTCTTGTCAGTCACAGGCTTGTAGGCCGCAGCGTAGATGGCGGCCTCTGATGGTAGCATAGGCTGCGTGTCAATGTTGTCAACACCTCGGCTTTTGGACAGAACATGAGATAATGAATGTTTGTGTGCAAGCGCTATGACTTTCATGCCATGAGTCATGGAGAAACTTCCTTCAATGATTGATGATGACTTGATGCATCTACATGCTGCCTCGGAACCAGAAGTCGCAGTCATAGATTGGTGCTTTGAAGAGAGCAGGTTTTGTAGCTGTGCACGTTCTGTTTCCAAGCCTTTCAAAAACAACAGACGGGTCAATTCCACCTCTGCCTGTTCCAAAGCGATCCTGGTTCGCTTCGGTGCAGGCTCAGGCTTCACCGGATCACAAGGAGACAAATGGTCCGCAGGGGCCTTGGCAGGACTTGGACAGGGCTCCTTCAGGAAGGTTTCCAAGCAGTCACTAGTAGAATCACAGTTCTGGCACATGATGGATTTTTTCAGAATCCGGTGTAGTCCCTCAGCATTCCCTGAACATGGAGTCTCCAAAAGCTTCTCCGAATTGATGTGAGCTCGGTGACAGTCGATGCACTTGAAGCCACACTTCACAGCAACATGCGGAGATGGCTTGGATCCAGTCAAGGGAGAGTATTCAGTCCCTTAGATCACATTGGATTCGGTCTTAACTGCATTCTGAATAGAGAGTTATGTTTACAGCACTCCTGCCGGCCTATAAGATTTTTTGTTTCATTAGCGGCACGTGTGATCAAAAGAGCCTAGACACTTCGAGGTGGAGGAGTGACGAGAAAGTCGGATGCAGCTCGCTTCATTGGAGGCGAGGCGTGAGGCAGCTCAACTGCTGGCAGATCGCCCACACCTGGTAGATGGAAAAGGAACATGGCTCACATATGGAAGCGCTTTTTGTCCACGGGCAAACTTAAATATATCTCATCAAAGCTCCAACATGTTTAGCAAAGCTCATCAAAGCTCCAACATGTTTGTCCATACTTGCGGGCAAGTCACAAGCAGGATTCTTTGGCGCCATTGACTTGGGCCCTGCAGTGGAAGACATCGTCCCTGGTTCAACCTGCACAGGGTTTCCCGTTCGAAGTGCATGCAAAAAATGGAGTGCGTTCATTCATGGACACAACACTTCAGTGTGTGTGGCGCCTCTTCCATGCATTCGTCCTCTGTTAGCGGTTCTTCCTCAGCACCCTCGGAAGGTTCATCGTGTCCTGCTTCATCTTCTTCGACAATGGGGTCGCCGGATCCTCAATGAGTGTTGAATGCTCCCAGGTCTGTGATTCTTCTTTACGGATGTTTCTTTAATGTTTGTGCAACATGTTTTGTGATCAAGTGCAACTAAAACTCCACCAGCTCGTGATTCGGATGGAGATTGCATAGGGATGCCAATGCTAGAGAAGAGTTGTCTCAACTCCGGGCTGCGAGGGATATGAGGACGTCTGGCAACCGAAGCAATGATGGAAATCATGTTGCGAAGTACCCAAGCTTCAGTCTTGATCTCATCACCTGAGTAGACAGGTGTGTGGCCAAGTGTCCGCACTTGTTTATTTCCACGTTGGTCATGGTGAAGACTAAGACTGCTTTGACAATTTCTAGTTTGCCGGCCTAGTTGCTTTTTGGGACTGGTTTTCCTCTAGGCCTGCAGTAGAACAAGAAGCGGCCCGCCAGATCTTCCAAAAGTGAAGTGCTCGGGCGCATACCTTGGAAAGCATGAGCTGGGTTTCGTTTCTTTAGGGACTAGAAAAAATGGTGAGCCACAGATGTACTGTATAAGTCTTAGCTAGGAAGTGCCTTGGAATTCATGACTAGTTGCCATAGGTCTGCACAAGGGGGCTCAACAGCTCATAGTTGTCAGCGACTGTGGATCGATCTATTGAATTCCCCCGGACAAGCGCAATGTTTCCTTTGGATGCTCTGGCAACCAAAGTCTCAATCTTTAGCCATTCCGAGATGACCGGGCACCGCTCATCCCCACCTTCCACAACCACCATAGCTGCCAGAGCGAGTGAACAACTAGAGTTTGGGCCAACCTTCATGACAAATATGCGGTTGAGCTCAACAACGCACCCAAAGCTCCATTGTTCAGAGCTCACAACTTGAAAGCGGCCCAGGCCTTCCAGCACTTGCCGTTGAAGACCTCGTCAGCACATACCTGGAAAAACAATACGTACGCGCGTTGTGGGTTATGTACATGTGCACATTGACTCACATTGTAAGGGCGCACGATAGCCCCTGTATGCCACAAGATCATGGCCGCGCAAGCTGCTAGGCAGCTTGACCCCCAAAAGCTGCTCAAGCGGGCAAAAAGTAGTACGAATCCAGAAAAACGTACGAGCCTCCAAAAAGTACTACGAAATGTCGGTTTATGATACGAAGTCTGAAGAAGTGCTACGGTGGACCAAAGTACATAAATTTCTAGTACGAATGGTCCTGCAGGGGGATAGTTGCTTCTCCAAAATAGCGGTCACTCAAGCTCCAGGTATATAACTATATATATATAATATATATATATATATATATATGTGTGTGTGTTGTTTCCGATGGCTTAAATAACATTGCTCAACATGGCTCCGGACCCTTGGATCTGTCTCAACTTAAGAAGCTTTCTGCACTTGGGGCCTTTTGGGATGTGACAAACTGAGGCCAGAAAGGTTGCAGCTTAATGGTTGGTTTTTCAGCTGTTCAAGCCAGCCTCGACCTTAGCGCAATCACCAACAGTCCACATCGCCCTCATCTTCACCCCTTGATCTCCTAAAACCTGCCTTGAAAAAAACCATTCTTAGCTTGGAGGCCATTGCTAGTAGGTTCCGAATTCCCTGCACTTTGCAGCTCCACCCCACTATAACATACTATCACACAAACCACCCCAATGACGAGGTCAATCCGCACCTGGGACGAAACAACACCCCCCGAGTCGAGTCGGACGCGCGCGAAGCTCTGCAGCTCAGCTCGGTCTTCGGCGATTGCGGCTCGGGCACATGGCGATGCGGGCCATGACCTCGCTGATGCGGCCCAAGATATGGAAGAAGGGATACAACCTGCAGACCACCGGAGAGAGGGATCGGACCAGGGCGGGACCAGGAACTGTTGAGAACACCACACGAAAGGGATGGTGTGGGGGGATCGTGACACCGCAGGTGGGAGGTGGTGCTTGGGTGGTGGAGTTTTGGGATGAGGATGAGGAACGACACGTGTTTTCCTCTCGCTCGGGGGCCAGGGATCGTGTGCTTTGAGCCGGTGGTGGTGTGGTTGGGGCCATTTGATGCTATGAAGGCCCCTTCCCATCACATCTCAGCATAGCTCGTCCATTCAAAGCCTTTAAAACCAAACCACACAAGCAGACTTGGGCGCCTCAGCATCATGGTCTTCCCCTGCATGCTGCGGCTCACGTCATAACGCCGCGCCAAGAAGGCGCTGGTGCCAATGTCCACGTCCACCACCTAGCTCACACCGAACCGGGGGGGATCCAAACCTGCCCGACCAAAACCTCACGTGCACCCTTCGGGTCCCAAAAGTCTTTGGGGTGCAAGAGGATGAGTATGATGTATATATATATATATTAAGAAATAGGAAGGGTGTCCGTTTTGGACTCAGCCACCCCCTGATTTTCGGACCCCACACCACTTCGGAACGGACGGGTCTCACCATGGCGCCGAAGACGAACGAGGGGTTGGGCGTGCAGGCAGCGATTGAGTCAATGCTGGAAGTACCATATGGTCCATATGCCCTATACTATTGGTTAGTTCACTTTGGAGGTGTCGAACTCTATGAATGCAAAGGGTTGGATTACAGAAGTTGTAGATGTTGGGAGCTCCTGGATGAGCTTTTGAACCAAACACTGCCATAGGAAAAAGCGAAAAACGTTGAAGAAATCATCCAAACTGGATCTCACAGGCAGCCCAACCAATTGAATCTGGCTCCTGTTTGGTTCTTTTTCATGTCCAGTCCAGTCGGAACTTCGGAACTGACGAACTCTCTGCCCAACCAGAAGTTCCTCATGGCGGGGTGCCCGTTCAAAAATCCCATTTTCCTGCCCTTGTTCCGTGTCTGTGTAGGTTTCAGGTTGACCTGCACTACCATGCACTACCAGGAGCAAATCTGCTGGAAATCTGGTCTCTTCGACCAGGTAGAGATATGTAGACCGTGAACCAACTGGACCGCCTCCAACACACCGGTGAGGAGCGCCGCCCCCACAATCAGCGCTCCCCAGAGCAGAGGAATCACGTGACGTGAACCCGGTGAACCACTTCCTCTTGCTGAACCCACCAGTGGCGGGGCCGACCCAAAACCATAGATGTTGTCCAAGCCTCCCCACCGGTCTAGTCAGCTCGTCTCCCATCCCCGCACCCCAAACTCCGCCCAGCTAGTCTGGTGCCTCAGACCGGGTTTTCGGACGAAGCCACGGAGAAGGAGATCACCAAGAGTTGAGACAGGATGGAAAAGCCCAGCACATAGGTCTCAAGCCTGGTCTTCGGCTCACACCTGGGTCTCGGCAGGACTCCAGGGACCTCCTTTGAGCCCTCGTCGTCCATGTGGACCATGGACGTCAGCAGCTGGTTCAAGTGCTCCCCGAGGCCCAAATCACACCCCCAGGAGGCTCCACGTGTTTTCTGGAATCTGGATGGTTTTGGATGGCACCAGCCTGCCCTCAAAAGCTTGTGCCCTTCAAAACTGACAAGATGATGTATACATATATATATATATATATATACCAGCACTAGCACCATGAAAAGGATGGTTTACAGACCTGCACCATGTATTTTCCTTCCAATAACCACCCGAATCGGGTGGTGCTGGTACATTGGTACATGACATGGTGGGTCTCCTCACCCACTCCAATCACAGCGAGGCCGGATCAGGTGTGTTCTCCATAAGCCACCCGTCCGTAAGTCTTGGCAGTTGGTTTCTCCGCACCATTCAGACCTGAACCGCTGGTTGTGTTGAATGCTTTTGGAGCATATCTTCAGACTGGAATCCTTTCGCTAGAGGAATGACGCCTGAGAATCCCCAGACCTCTGACCGTAACGAACGGTGCTGGTCTCTCTTTCAAGCCTCCAGACATGCTCCACGCCCGAGCCGAACTGTGGGGAGGTGAAGAGACATCAACCCCCAGGTCCATGGATTGGAGAACCTCATCATCTGGAGTAAATAGACCATCAAGAGTCCACAAACGCCCAGACCTCTCCAAACACATCTGTGAAGGCACCACCAAATCCTCGAATGGTCGGTGGAAGGCTGAGTGCTCCAGAAACTCATGTCAAAGCAATGCCTCAGAATCGCTGCCGCGGCCCCGATTCAGTGCCAAGCAATGCGTGTCCACGCGTCCGAGCGTCCAGGCGTTCTGAAAAAAAAGGGCACCTCTGAGGAAGAGGAAGAATCAACCCCAACCCCCCCAAGGCTTGAGTTTCGCGTCTATCTAACATATATATATAATAGTTAAACCAAAAGATCCAAAAGTGATTTAATATGTATACACATATAAGCCAACATCTCTTCATATACTCCAGAAGAGGTTGCCATGCTCCTGCTGCTTCTTGGCTAAAACTTTCGGTCCCCACGTTTTTTCTTCCTCGACGAACCATGCTGGGCGGAGGGCTTTCGAGTTCATATACTTAAGTGTTGAGTCTGGGAGTCTGGGGCGTCTCTGTGCACGTAGATCAGCAGTCGCAGCCACACGTAGTTCTTTACATTTTGGCAGTGAGTCTGAGCCGGTTTGGGCAGAAGACGGCTGAAATCCTTCGATCAAGATGTCCTTCGATCTGTCCATCAAACCCCCCATGGTATCTGGAGGAGATGCCCAATCCATGGACACCTGTAGGTCCACCTTTGCACGGATCAAGGTCGACCGACCCAGTGGATCCTCTTTATTCGGATCCAAAGGGTTTCCACACATTCTCACGAACAGCTTTGCGTCCTTGGTCCTTGCGTCCTTAGACAGCCCCACATCGATGTCCTTCGTTGACGCTGTTTGGGGCTGAAGAAAAGGGACGGCTGGAGCATCGAACATCGAAGGCCAGACCCCCTTTCAGCTTATATGGCGGCTGCCCCCTAAAAACCTCAGTTCCTCTCTGACTCCCTCAGGGAAACTCTGGAAAATGCCAGTGAAGTGTCAAGCTTGGCAAATCCTTGGTGCAAAGGTCCAAAATAGATAACGGATTCACACATGTTCCAATATCATCCTTGGTGGCTGACTTTATAGCAGGCCTGCAACTCCAAGAAGGAGTCATGATGAGGCCAAAAGTCTCTTGGAAGCACCCTTTCTTTATCTCACCCCCTCAGTCTCTCCAGAAGAATAAGGTGAACCTCTCTCCACCTCTTGGATTTGAGTGGGGAAGCCAATCCTCCCAAAAAGACTTCAGGTCGCCGGATCACGGCGGATCGATTCAAAAGGTCCCGCGACCGGTCCGATGGCCCGGGCATCTCTCCTTCATTTCCTCCAGTTGGCTTCAAAAGGAATGCATAGACCATGATGGGCACCGCTGGGATGTTGGTCACGATGGCCACCGGCAAGCCACGCTCAGCACCCAGCACCGGAGTGATCCACATGTAGTCCTGCGCGTCGCAGCGCCGTGCACGCCGCGGGCACTCGCGTGTGGGGCAACCACGTGTGGTGATCAAGAAGCAGATGCTTCGAGCTGTAGGTGTGTTCCACTCATCGTGCATCTTGAGCGCTTGGACCCCGGTCCAAAGGCGCAACTCTTGCGATTGCGGAACTTCTGCTCCCCCCCAAAACCAGGGGCGCACCAGGGGCTCCGGAAGAAAAAACAGCTGGGCTGGAGCGAACGCCACCGCCGGCCCCCCCGGCTGCCAAACCTAGACCGCACCACCCGATTCTGCTAGGCTCCTGTGATGCCTTGAATCTGTTAGGATAGATGTTCGGTGAGAAAACACGGGGAAGGAAAGACATCTGGATGCTGCGTCGATCCTAAAGTCTAAGCACTACCAAAGAGCTCCAGCTCATCGCGGTCATCATCCCAGAAGCTCATCAGCATCTGAAACTGGCAGAACATGTCTGGAGGGAACCCAGAAATTGTGGCTTCGTGACGGATCTGCTAACCATTTTAGACCAACAATCCATATGGACATATACAGGACCATCCAATGGGTGTCCAATGGACTACCCTCCACCACTTAGGGATCTCCATTGGACACCCATTGGATTGTCCTGGGTATACATGTACGTACATACATACATTACATTACATTACATTACACTACACTACATTGCATTGCATTGCATTGCATTACATTACATTACATTACATTACATTACATTCATATACATACACATTGCATATATATATATAATTCTGTATCTCATATTATGTATACTGTATGTGCACCTCCTCCAAATTGGAGGCTGCCAGTGGATCCATCCCTCACCTGCGACATCCTTCGCTTTCCGGTCGAGATTGGCGTGCCTGATCCTCCAGGCTTTCCAAGACTTCAGCACTTCTCAGCTGTCGCGCCCAAGCCCTCTTCACGTGAATCACCTGGTTTTCTTCGCTCGCGGCGCTCGCGCTTCGTTCGGGTCCAAGGCTCGGGCGGTGCCCACCGTGTTCACCTGCGGTGGTCCGTGTTGCTTCACCTCCGCAGTCTAGTTTATTCTGTTGCTTCACCTTGCGGGTCAACCAGGGTACACCTGTTTTGGGGTAGTCCATGGTTGTCCCACAATGGTCCCCATGGCCGGGCCACCGTTTGGTTCCCGCCATGTTTCGGAGGATCCTCGTTGATGAAATGTAGTAGGCTTGATGATATGTCACCCCCCTGAATCGGATTGTAAGACCCTCTTTGTTATGAGATGAAGTTGCCAAGCATCGGCATGTCGCGCTGTGTCCTGCGCCCCCTGTCGCGAGGTCCGCGGGACGTTCCGCGGGACGTTCCTTGGTTCACTCCTGCGGCGTTCCGCTGGGCGAGCCTGAAACAGTCCCAGGATGATCAGCGCAAAGAGAGCCCAGCCACAGCTGGCCAAGCAATGGCTCTGCCGCACTTTCCGCAAGACGTCGGCATCGCGGAACGTGTTATGCACCGACAAGAGGAAACCCAACAACCTCGGTTTTCGCCACCAGGGGAGATACACGGAGGACTGGGGAGGGGCCAGTCCTAGTTAGTTCCACAAGAAACGTCACAAGCTTTGCGAAGCTTTGAAAAGCTCTTGAGCACGGTTGCGATATCTTGCGGTCTGTGTACGGTACTTCTCAAGGAGGTGCGTGTCATCGTTTGATGAACACTCATGAGTACTTGTGACATTTCTTGCGACATATAGATGTTTGAAGTCTGCTCTATTCGTGCGTTTGAAAACCCATCTCAGCGACAGTGATATGATACTGAGGGTGCTTGCGATGTGTGTGTGTGTGTAACCCTTGGAGTCATAGGGATCCTTTCGGATTGGTCTCGACTTGAACCTTGGTTTTGACTTGAACCTTGGTTTTTCATTTTGAAGCAGGGGTAGCGGCAGATCACTTGGGACCGCTACCAACGAAGACACCCATTTGATCTGGTGATGTCGGAGTTGGCCACTCCGACGTACCTGCCATTTTCCTTCCGTTCTGAATGGCATGAGGCTAAGCCAAGAACCTCGAAGAGTTACAGAGTTTCAGATTTGATGTTTTCTTTGACCTGCAGATGAGAGCGACACGCCGTCAGCCTGGTCGTCCGTCGTTCGTTCGTTCCTTTCCTTTTGGGCCCTACTTCCTCTTGAAGACCTCCAGGATCCCGTGGTTCGTACATGTACTCTTAGGAATTGGAACCCTAGGCCGGCGTGTGGCACCGCTTTCAGTTCCGTACACCATATCCTAAGTGTGTGTGTTTAAGAGAATATCACACACCAACAAATCAAACCATACATGACGACGACTGCGGTGACGAGAACCATAATCGCGACCACGACCACCACCACCACAACAGAATCAGCAGCAGCAAACTGAAACACATCAACTTGTAACGAAAATGCGATGGTCACAACCTGGAATACTGAACTTTGGTGTTTGGGCGGACACAGGAATTGATGTCTCATTGTTTTGGTGGCCCCATTCTGCAACAAAGTTGGGTGTGCTCTTGAAAGTCCAGAAGCTGCCATCCTCTCTTGGTCCAGTTGTTCGTTTTGGCACCAAATGAATTAGTTGCTGGAGTTTCACCGAGCATTCCACATCCCTGGCGGCGTGAAAATCCACCCGAAGCTGCCCAGACATGCCAAAACCAGGTGGTGAACACTTTGGTTTTTGGAGAACCAAAACTGGATGCTTGCAAACCTGGTCTTCGCCTCATCGCTCCCGCTCCGGCAGTGTCAAGGGGCTCGAAGAAGAGCTGCCAAATGACCTGGGAAGTGGCAGAATGGGAAGTGGCACACAGTTTGGGTTTGCCCGTGAGATCTGCCCCAAATTCTGGTCCAACATCATCCAAGCTCCGCTTTAGGGAGTGGACGAACTGTCCGGGACCCCACCAGGGTCCAACATCCGCTTGAGGGCCAAGGGGCATCCCGTCTTCACTCGTCATGAGGTTGGAGTGCCCAGTGTCCGCGCTACCACTCCAAAGCACGGAAGCCAATTACCCATGCCAAGTCCCTCTTTCGGTGTCTCAAAAGCCGTGCTGGGGGACAGCGGAAGCCGCTGTCGAAGTCCCAAAGACTCCAGGGTATGGGAATAGATGGACACCCCCTGAAAAAACCAGCCCAAACTGATTCAGTTCACATCACTTATCCCATGTCCGTCGTGTCGAACGGAGTTCTCCGGTTCGGCCACGGGCACGGCGTAGTACTTCCGGTGCATGGCGAAGAAGCAGATACACCAAGCACCTGGGCTGGTCCAAGGGCAATGCTGATGGATGTGGACGCATCACGTTGGATGGGATCAGCACGGATCCAAAATGGGCAGACCTAGAGCCTGGGGTTTTGACCTCTTTTTGGACCAACCAGCCAAAATATGGTCAAACATCCGGTCAAACAAACAACAAATACAGAATCATACAGAGCTCATGTCTCAGTTCCAGGTTTTGGTCGTCGCTGCGTCTCCGTGGAAGAAGGGGGTTGTTGCCGTGCGACGTAGGACGTTGTTGGCCACCATCCCCACTGAGACGATGAGGAAGCGCATGCTGCTGTACTGCGGTGATCGAGGCTCCCCAGCCGTGCCTCCAAAGCATCGGTGAAAGATCGGTGATCGCCATGGTGCTGGGTTCTGGGTACAAACCATGCCCATAAAGAGATGGATTCTCTGCTTCAAGTCTTGTATGTGATGGCTTCTCTCCGCCGTCACTGTGAAAAACATGATCTGGGTCTCGGATGCTCGAGGTGTGCTCGTTCGCTGCTTCACAGGATCCGGTGAGGATCGCATTGGAAACGGGTGACCCTATACTACCCGGACCCTATGAGTATATGTTTGGGCGTCCAAAGACATCTTCGGATGTCCAAATCTTCCAATCTTACAATGTAACAACTCCAGGAGTTCAAAAGGAGTGGCTTCGCACATCTACCCTCCATGAAGCACCCCTTGGGAACTCCTGGTTCGCATTGTGTTGTTCTTATTTGTTGTATTTGGTTTCATATTGTTGGTGCATGCCTTGCCACAAGGGGACCGGTTCCGTCATTACATCCTCTCAGAACGCTTGTTCACTCTTGTCCGGCGTGAGCAGCCTCGGGATGGCAGCTCATCTGCCTCTTGCGCTATGGAGCGAGCCTGGGCATGGCAAACATCCCATGCACCACACCGACAATGGGAGGGTTGACCTATTTCAATACCTAACACCCACAAGGGTGGTGAGGTAGTTGCGAGGCTAGCCCAATGGATCAAGTCGCCACTGGTGTAAACATGTTTTCCAACGACAAAGCAAGTCCGCGACCCTTCAGGGCAGCTGTGGAAGAATCCCCTGGTTCCTGAGGTGGAAAAAAGGGCCTCCATCTCCATCTCTTTTGGCGTGTCCAAAGTTCTAGCAAGGGGTTGGGGAACTCCTGTGGTCGTTCCGAAGGATTCCCTGTTGAATGGGAAAGAACTGGATATTCAAGCTCTGTGCCTGCAGTGGGTCTGCGCCCCAGATGACCAGGACTTTCCCCTTCGCCACAATCAGAAAACTCTTGGCAGCACCTCCGACCCAATGGAAACTCCATCCAATGAGCCCCTTATGCTCCCTGAGCCGTCGCTCCCTCCCTCTGCAACAGCTAGAAGGTCGAAGTTCCCAAGATTTCCAAGGTCTTCAGAGCCCTATCGGTGCTTCGCCAAGCAAACTTGACCGAAACGAAACAGTGGGGGAAACCATCAAGACGTGGGCAGGAAAACATCAGGGGAGAAGCAGCCTGATGACTGGCACTTCTGTCATAGTGATTGTCATGTTTGCCCTGCAGTTTCTCTTCAATCCATGGACTAATAGGAGCTAAGTGACAAAACTTAACTCACTCACTATTGTTCCCAAAGTCACAAGTAGTCATAGAAACAAGTCCCATTCAACAGCGCGATTGGACCACAGCGACACGCGAACTCCAAACCTCCAAGCTTGACTCACACACTGCAGTTTTTCCCACATAGCATGAACTATTGGGGTTCTTCCCTCAAGTGTGGGAAGAGGTGCCTGCTTGCACATTGGAGATTGGGTGCTGGGGCTATGGCCGTGGGTGGGGACGGGGCTGGGGAAGATGGAGGGGAGCGAGACGGGAGGCGCATGGGTGGGGACGGGGAGGGAAGATGGAGGGGAGCGAGACGGGGCGCATAGTTGGGGACGGGGGTGGGGAAGGAAGATGGAGGGAAGCGCATCGGTGGGGACAGGGCTGGAGGGGAGTGAGACGGGAGGAGAGAAGATGGAGGGGAGCGAGACTGGAGGCGCATGGGCGACGGGGAAGCGGAGGCGCATGGGTGGGGACAGGGGCGCATGGATGGGGACGGGGCTGCAAAGGGAGCGAGACGGGAGGCGCATGGGTGGGGACGGGGCTGGGGAGGGAAGATGGAGGGGAGCGAGACGGGAGGTGCATTGTGCATGGCATGGGTGTGGACGCTTGCGCGGCTGATATGCTAGTTACAAGGACATGGTTGCACCACAAGCATCATTGCAGGCTGCTGGGTCAGTGCACAAGTAGAACGAAGCATGGGTGGGGGTAGTGCTGCTCCATGCTTCGTGGAAGCACGTTGGGAGGTGAGTGGAGCTGTCCAAAATGTGCACAATGCATGCGGCAGACAGTGAAGTCGTGGCCGAAACGGCAGGATTGTTGCGTCGAGCACATGGTTGCACCACAAGCATCATTGCAGGCTGCTCCGGGTCAGTGCACAATGTAGAACGAAGCATAGGTGGGGGTAGCGCTGCTCCATGCTTCGCGGAAGCCCGTTGGGAGGTGAGTGGAGCTGTGTTGCGGGGCTGATACGATGGTGTTGGGTGTCCAAAATGTGCACAATGCATGCGCCAGACAGTCAAGTCATGGCCGACCCGGCAGGATTGTTGCGTGCCAAAAGCACAATGCGTTAAATTGGATGGTTGGAACGAAGCATGGAGGGGGCTGATGCTGCTCCATGCTTCCTGGAACGGTTGTCAGAAGCCATGTTGCACTGGGGTTGGAGACTAGCTGCAGGGATTGAAAACAGACAGAATATATATATATAATACATCCAACCTCCAACCCGACTAAAAAGGGAACCGTCTTGTTTTCTTCTTACTGCAACGATATTTCTATCTAGGGTCTATGCCGGTGTAAAGACAAAAGACCGAAGCCCACTCAAAGGTTTGTTCGAGAAAAGCAAGCGACAAATCCTCTCCTCCTGGGATATCTCCGCCATATCGACGCCCTGATCATGCCAACGACGCACGCCACCGGAAATCTATGCCAAAAAATGAAACAGAAATATCATGGTTGCCGAGGGGGCTGATGCTTCGTTTTGGCCTTAATGTGTGTTTGTTTATTTTTCCTGGGTTGCGCGCTTCTTTTTGCTTTTGGGTCCGCGGGCTCACCTTGTTTCTTTCTATCTTTTCCTCACACCTTCTCTCGAGCGTCGTACGCCTGTGACCCGCTGCTTCGGGTCGTTCTCACACCTCTGCTTCATCGCGGGAGAGCCATCCACGTCTTTCTCCTTGGCGCCTTCGGCTGGGATGTACGCGCTGGGGTCGCTGTGTCGCCTCATCCCTGCCGGTGTGCTTTGGCCTTTGACTTGCGAGCCCTCTTCTCTGGCTCAGGGATGCTCCTTCGGCGGCAGCAGTGGAAGCACATACTCATCCCCATAGCTGACCAACAGCTCGGCTCCTGGCGACCCCATGTTCAGGCAAGCAACCCAGCTTGCAGTTCGGAGCTTTGCGCACGCCCACAGGGAGAGCTGGTTCTGTTGTGGATGCGCCTTGGTGATGAGAAGCGGCTCCACCCGAAAAGTTTAGTTTCAAAGTCCGGGCTTGTTGGCGGATCTTCGCCGCTGACACCGTGTCATGCCATTGCCCTGCGGCCAAGCACTGCTCCTCAACGAGGATATCCACATCCAGGGCACCATTGCCCGGCACAGCGAGGAAGCCATGTCAAAGGATGGCAGTGATTCCCAAAAGGCACCGCTCTGCTGCAAGCCGCTCATTCTTTTCTTGCGGATGCCGCGCTGTGAATGTTAGTCAGTCGTGCCGAATGCATGAAAGGTTGTAGCGTTGGATGAGTACCACAGGCCCACACAGGCATGCCAAGAAATGCAGCTATCTGCTTTATCCAGAGATGGATCTAGAGAAAGAGTTTCATCCAGAAAGTTTCTGGCGCAGAAAGCAGGGTCAGCCAAGGTCATGCAAGAAAGGGCTGAAGTGGTAAAGGAAAACACCCCTGTTTTTCGGCAAATAGGTGATCAGGTGGCAGAGACACTCGCAAAGCCCTGCGCTGTGACTGGCAAGGCAACACAATGGTAATAATTTGTTGCCGACAGCCCACGGGTGGTGTGGGTTCGGGAATTAGTCAATTCCTGATCTCTCACCAGTCATGGATACAGGCGTGGATTCGATCCTGAAATGTCACCACATGCACTTTGACAATCATCTTTCTTGCGCAAACCCATCCAGGCCATGAAAGAACCGGAAGAATTCAAAGCCAAAGAGCCAAGGTTTCAGTGTCCAATAACGGGTGTTCTTTGCAGAATGCAGTTTCAAACAATCCAAACAAAATCCAGACAACTTCCTCTCTTCCCCGGCCCATTCGCACTGAAAAGTGCAATCTGAAATCTCTGTGCACGAGCCCGTAATCAAGTCCACACTTCCAAAAAATGTGCTTCGTCTTTCTGTGCCTCCTGTGGACGGCGAATGGGTTTCTGAAGCTCCCTCCCGCCCGTTCAGCACTAATCCCGAGTACCTACTTAAATAGCCTCCCCAATTAAAAACACCATGTCCGAAATACCCTAAATACGGTTTATATATTTGTGTTTAATTACCGCCCTTTCAAGCCGCTACTAAACTACCAACATGGTCGATTTTGGGGGTAGTTTTTTTAATCAGGTTCCAAAAACAACCGTAACTGCCCACCTCTGTCAGCCCTGTCTATCCACCATGACACGCCGCGTTTACACCAGCAGGCTTTCCTTCCCCCAATGGCACGGACTCGCGCGAGGTCACGCAAAACCGCATGGCACAGCGACATCACCTTTCAAAAGCTTTAGTTGTTAGTCTAATGAAGAATCAGTATTCTAAAAAAGGTTTTTGTAGGAGAAAAGGAAGACCCTTCGATCTGGAGGTTGTTTGAATTTTTGATACGAGAGTTTAATAAAGGACTTTATATAAAATGTTCCTGGGTTACATTTTGGTTTTGAAGCTCTTCCCAGGTGACTCTATTTTGGACCACCCCGATTTCAGGGACCCTCTATTTAAAAATGTGCGACCGAGTTTTTCTTAATAAGGGGTCAGTGGGGTGAAGAGAAGCCCTTATCGTCAACCCAAACTTGGTTGCCATGAGGCCAATTGGTTTTTGATGGTTTTTGCAGCTGCGCACTGTCGCGCCGCTTGCGGCAGCTTTTGATCACACCGGAGGCAGTCCACCGGATCTCAAAGGTGGATTGAAGTTTGAGATGGGCAACAAAAAAGATTTCACACTGAAGGATTTTGGTCATGATCAACTTGATGATTTGTTCACCTTGGACTTGCTAAAGGGACTAGACACACGAGTGAAACTCCTACACAGCCTGACCGAACCTATCACCTTAATGACAGACCTAGACCGCAAGGCCTGGCGGCCAGGCCCACACACCCCAAGCACAACGACTACCCAAATGGCTCGGCGCGCCACGCACCCTCGAGAACCTGGTTTGGGGCTTCGGCCGAACCTTCCCCCCCCCCTCCCGACCCTGCCCGAACCGCTTTGCCCGCTCGCCACCGGTTCGCCCGAGCGGACGCCCCGGGCGCGCACCCGACCCGCTTCACCCGAGCGGCCGCGAGGATCGCCGACTCCAGGGAGCCCCAGCGCCGCATGGACTCCTGGGGGGCCCAGCGACCCAGAGGGTCCGGTACGGACCGGAGGGGGTGGGGGGGTACGGTGCCCTAGAGGTCGGTCCATGAGTCACGTTATGGATGGCTGGTGGGTGTAGAGCCGTAAGAGCCCACCAGAACACCGGGCCTTGGATTTTGATGGTCCGAAGATGAACGGAAATGGACTTCGAGACATGGTTGAACTAGCAGGGATTAGGGTCTGGGTTGTGAGCTACAGCTACATAGGTGGTACACTTCAAGGTATCCCCTCTAGCACCTTCAGCGCCCAGCTGGAGACCGGTTTGGAAGAGGAAACAACACCTCAAAGCCAGTGTGCCGGATCAAGATTTGGAACTACAAAGCCCAAATGGATTAGGTCTAGTCTCATGAGTCCCATGAAGTTTCATTTGTGTTAACAGAAACTTGATCAGACTTGGGTGGCCTGTGGCTTTTTGGCCGCAGGCATTTCTCTAGTGAAGTGAACCAAAACGCCAAAGAAGTGTTCGGCTTCAGGAGTTGCAAACAGGTGTTCAGAATCCATTGAATGGGGAAGCAACACCCTCCTGTCCACATCTCCCTCATCTCACGAAGCCAGTGCATCTGAACATCTAATGAATCTAGGAATGCCAAAGGGTTGATGCGCTTCATGGATGAAAAAGATCGTGCCGCCCAGTGGGTGGCAGCTTCATTGTTCGTGGCCAGTGAGAAAAGCTTGGTGAAATCGAAATCTTCCGTGGCCGATGTGAGAGTTTCTGAAACCCTCCAAAGAGCTATCAGTATTCTTTGGAGGCCCATGTCAGAAAATCAACTACCTCCCCAAAAAACATGCCTTGGCAGGAGAGTCAAAGATCTATGTGATTTTGAAGCAGGCAACGCCGAGATCCGATCTATGTGATCTTCTGCCGCCAGGAGAGTCCAAAAAGAAAGGACAACCAGTCTATGGAAGATTTGATTTGCTTCATCAAATCCCCTAAGAATCCAGGCCCTTCTCCCATAGGAAGGGTTTGCTTCTTGTCCGCACCCCTGCGTCCGGGCCTTGGTCCCCACCCCTGCCAAGAGGTCGGTCCAAAACAAAAACACAAGAGGTCGTCCTTAGGTCGGGCCCCCACCTTTTCAGCCGCCTTCCTGACCTCGCGGGCACCCAACGCGCGCCGCTGGGACGAGAAGTCCTGGGAATTGCGGGAGTCGCTGGTGCCTGAGACCTCAGTAGACCGGAGAGAGGGGCGGGAGAGGAGGGAGGGAGGAGCTGAAGGTGTCATTCCTGGAACTTCCATCCTTTCGTCCGAACCAGAAATACTGCACGTGATCTCTCCTTTTTGGAGGATTTTGCTGGACCGGAAGGAATGAAAAACAAAAGCGACCCTTCCGGGGCATTTCTGGATTTTGCTTGGTCTTTCAAACAACTGTTGCTTCTATTCCAAAGGCCTGTGGCTTTATCATGATCACTTCAAAGCAGGGACAGTTGTTGACTTGTCTCGGTGTCGTTGGCGCCCCCCAGAAGGCATTCTCGTCTCTTCAACCAAGGATCAAGAACGACTGTGTGATACCATATCTAACAGCAGTGACTCTCTGAATCCGCTTGCTTTCCCGGTAGGAAAACCCGGTGAAGGAGGAAGGATCACCAGCGAAAGGATACGCATGGAAGAAGACGAAGGGCGCTGCTATCATTTGCGTTACAGTCAGACTTGTCAGATGTACGGGGCAAAGTTCCTTTCTTGTCAATTGCTCGCCCATCTGATTGATGAAAACATGTTCGCACGCCTTCTGTTCACTGCTCACTCAATTCTGCAGGTTGCTCACCTAGGCCCTGTCAGGCTCTTGATGCTATTTCCACCCCCCAACTTGGAGTGCAAAAACCTCTTCAGGCTTGGGGGGGGTTGTTCATCCAGAGTCTACACTGCCCTCCACACTGCCCACATGCCATGCAGCTGATAGTTCGATGCCATCACTTCCGTGGACTCGGCTGCTGTGGCTGTCGACCGCGCGGCTGCTGGAGCCGTTGCGCGACATCAGGACAAGGCTGTTGATAGCAGGAGGGTGTGTGGATGGTAGGGTGGGTGTGAAGCAGGTTTAGGCTATGGGTAGACTTTACGACTTGTCCTCGGGAGGCGGTAGGCTTTTCAGGGTAGAGGGTCCGGCCTCATAGCATCAGCACCTCGCTTCCGTGAGGGGCCGGTGCGCCCCACCGTGCTGGTCCATCATCCTGGGTGTTTTCACATGAGGTGCAACCGAACAGTAATCTGTCAAGCTCCCGAGATGCTGCAGTTGAGCCCCCCAAAATCAGTTGAGCCGTGGAGCCCCCATGTTGAGCCCAATATGTCGACATGCCAAATGGTGCATTTTGGCCTGCAAGACTCACCGCTTGAACAAAACGCTCCGAAAGGCATGACATGCTCTCCCCAGGTACCACAGTCAGTAGGTGCCTTGTGGTTCCAAGGAGTGAGCCCAGAGGCAGTGGCACCTTCCTCCTCGGCACTCATGATTACAACAACATACTCTGTAAACAAAGCATCGGAACAAAAGGGACAGCCATGTGCTAAGCTTCCCCATTGATCAAAAGGGTCTACCCTCCTCACATGAAAGGAACAGAACAAACTGCTAAGGAGGTCGACGGGCGAAACGGGTAGAAACCGGTCGCGAAACAGGCGAAACCGCCTGCTATGAGGGTCCCAACCGGATGGTCGATGGGCAAATCTATCACCAATGGATGATGGCAACGACCGAACTCCGACAGGGCACTGCGAACTCTCGAACGACTGAAAACTGCCTCCTCGGCCCAGGAACCGAGAATTACAAAAGAGTTCGGTAGACCTGTTGTTGTAGTCCCAATATCCTTACAATCATGGTTGTTCGATCAAATGCGTTAGATCAAGGGTGATTGGAATCCTACTAGTAGGCTTCGCCCAACGCCACAAAACGGGTTCCCCTGATCACGTTTTGGTGATCGCCGATGGCGTGCCATCCGGTTGAACCTGCTACCAGTGACTACCAGCACCCCACTCAAGAGGTCACCACCTGTGACATTGTTTAAGTCTGCCAAAGGCACCAGTTCGGGAGACCTAAAGAGTCTGGTGGTAAAGAAAAGAATGACCATGCTCCCCTTGTCGCAAGCAAGCTACAAAGTGAGACTCCATTTAGTGGTTCAACAGCCTTCATACTGCTTAAGAGTCGTGCTGTACTCCTGACAGGGCCTGCAGCTCCTACTAGCGGCTGCAACTCCTGTGGTCCAAACCCACCGAGTTGCCGGATCGATCAGGGCCACTGGCGGCCAGGTGTCGGATCGAGACGGGTGCCTTCTCCTTCAGAGAAGTGCAACCCGCGGTGTTCATCAAAGGCCACTGACCACTTCTTGTGGCCTCCACACTTCTTGTGTGTGCTTTGACTAGACCTTCTCCAGAGATACTGTTAGGTGACCCCTCCAGCCAGGTGACCCCTCCAGCCTGTTCGGGTACGCAGCCTGCATCCCGTTCCCCTTTGGACCCAAACGATCTTTTCTCCCACTGGACCAGGCAGGTCACCGTCCGCTCATCGGGCGTTTCGGCACGGCGCATCGACCACCTCCCGTGGCCGCGCGGCCGCGCGAGACACGGAACAAAACGGGCGGTTTGGAGGACACGAAGCTGTGGAAGTCACGCAGAGGAGATCTCAGTGGCCACGTGGCCCCATCCGGAAGCCAAGAGGAAGCTTCGTCCCTCTCCGGAACGAGCGTCAAGCGGAGAACGCCTTTGGGAGGGCCTGCTTCTTGTTTCTTGTGAGAGATGCCAACGGGACACACCCTGGACCGGTGTGATGTCCGCACCCGCACCAGCACCAGTTCTGGTGCGCAGAAACACACCCTTCATGCAGGAAAAAAGGACTGGTGTTCTGGGTCAAGTGTGCTTCTTCCTGCATGACCCAAAAACCGACTTCCGAGGTAGGAAGGGATACTCCCAGACTCTTCCATCCGGACCAGCACCCCGGACCCAGCATAGTAGCTTTGTCACAAACCTTCCTGCCCAATTGGACACCGGAATAGAGATACAGTAATTAGTAATTGATTTCATCTGCTTTTTTGTTATACTTATACACCAAATTAATTATATACAGTAATTACGGTATTACAATTAATTAGGCCTACTGTACTGACTCTTTGCGGAGATGGGACGAACTCGACTTTGCCGAACCGGCGAACACCGTCCAAAGCACGAACGGCCGAGGTCCCGTGCCTGGTGCCAACGAGGTCCCACGTTGCATTAGCCTCGTCTGATCTTGTGAGAAGCCATGAACCCTTCAGATCTTTTTTAACAGCTTCAGGTGTCATCTGACGGTCGTCTGTATGTTTCATAGACTCTTGATGATGTGTTAACCTCATATTCATAGGAGCCCGTTTCTAGAATCGACACTGAATACTCAGAAAAGCGTCTTCTGTGGTCCGGTGGCGCCCTTCTGAACCATCTTGCTGGGCTTGATCGTTTCAGGTTTTGGGGTGCAAACATCGTTGAAGATAAAGGGCAACATGTGTTTAAACCACCAACTCGTCTGGGCCCCGCAGCCTCAACCTTACCAGAGGCACTCCGGTATCTTGCCTATACTGTTAGGGTTTAAGCTTTGTGCTTTGGTATAGAAACTCCTTATAAACCAAAAGCGGCCGAATCGGGTCAAACAGTTGGCAGAATCCGACAATACCAACGCTGGACACACATTGACCTCCCAATGACTCCTGTCCAGTTGCCTTCTGATCTCAACCGGCTGTAGTACTCCTGCGCAAAAATAAAGGCACACTGCTGCCTAGAAAGTGCAATATCCCAATATATCCAAAATCCCGAACATGCAGTTTTCCTTTACACAAAAATGTATCAAATACAGATACATATGAATACTACTAAATACTCTAGAAAAACAATTTCTTTATAGGTGCTTGCTTGGGAACAAACAGACAACCCACACACTTCGCATGTCATCTCAGGGCGCTTCGCTCTTGCGGGCTGGGGCACGGTGTGGAAAGAAAAAGAAGGAAGGAGACTTGCCTGTCCTGTCCATCTTCTCCTGTCCAGGGTTTAATCTAAGCTTTAACCATCTTTCAGCTATATACGGTCCGGTCCAGTACATCCCATGAAACCTGAAAACTGCACCTGTTCGGCTGGTCAAAAAACCGTGTTCGTGTCTCTTCTTTCGCTCAGACGGGAGGTTCTTGGCACTGCCCCCTCTCAGTTCTGCCCAGATATGGGGGAAAGAAGCGGTGCCTGCGCTCGCTCGTAGCGGTGCCTGCGGGTGGAACGTCATGGCACGAGACAGTCGTAGCTCGCTACCCCCCAGTACCTGGTGGACAAGGAACAACTCTCTACATGGACGAAGTGGGGGTGACAAGTTGAACGACCCATCCCCACATGTTCTTGTAGATTCGTGTCATTCTCATGTGGGCAAAAGGCGTCAGTCCCTCCAAACGCGCTTAGTCACGAATATGCCCTTTCGACAGGGCTGGCAAAAACACGAGACGCCCCCACCAACCCCCACCCCAAATCGCCGCCGCACGCGGAACGCCGCCACACGCGGTGGATTTCCTCGTAGCGCTCTTCCTGCCAGCGGCGCATCCATTCCTCCTCGTCGAAGGGATCTCCTCGTGGCAGTGAGTTCGTGCATGGCAGTGAGTTCGTGCGAGCCAGCGGGCAGCAGCCCGAGGTGGAAGCCCTGAACAGCTTGTGCCACTTTGTTCATTTTGACATTTTGAGAGTTCTCAACCAATCCATCTACCAAAGTCCTTTTAAAGGGAGGTACAAAGGGGACCAATGGCTCAATAGGCACACCAGCCATCTACCTGGAACCCAAGGCCCAAGCCCTTCGTTTCTAAAGGGTCTTGCAGTCCAGGAGAGCTTTGCGAATGGTTTGTATATACAATTCATTACAATTCTATGCACTTTCCGGCAGTGGTGGACCAAATGTGTTCACACCAGCTACAAGGTTGGCCCCAAGCGCTATCATGGAAGTGGATGGGTTTTTTGGCCCCGGGGGGTTCGACCTTAGTTCCTCTTTTTGAGGAGGTCCTGGGTCCTGGTCAGCTTCCATGTTGGAGGAACGGCAACAGGTGGAGTTCGGAAGTGGCGTGGCATGCTTGGCGGGGTCCCGGACCGTTGCACCCCCAACAGTTCCGAGTTCCACAGCTCCGGACGGAGGGCATCGAAGACCTGACTATTGACGTTCCACCTGTGGATGATCACCTGAACCTGACTATCTGAAGCCTTCAAAGGCTGCAGGATCCGAACCAGGAGTTGCAGACGTTCCGAAACATCGTCCTGTGGAATCCCGTGGAATATCACGCAATTGGAGACTCTGCGAGCGATCCACAACGATTCTCATGTCCCAAACACGACCTGTCTATGGGGCAGGCATATCATGTAGACCCTTGATGAATAAGCCACCCATATGAAGATGGTGTTCAATCAGCCGACATCTGTACGTTCTGGTTCCTGTCCCTTACCAAGCTCACACGATCGCTCCAATGTGGACGTTCGCTGGGTGAACCACACGCTTCGACCACTGGACTCCCTGAGGGAGACTCGATGTCAGTTGTTGGCATGTTGGCCTTAAGTTTTCTCTTCTATAGCAAGCTCAAAACACCTAAGGTGTTCCCGTACGCTTATGCGGACAATTGGTCGTTCATGTCAACCTCGGAAAGGTCCTGTTTCCAGTCAATCCAGCACATCCTCAACCTAGTTGCGGCACTCCGGATGCAGATTGATTTTTCTAAATCCTGGTGCTGGGCAACCACCAAGCTTTTTAAAACTTTCTGGTCAGACGCAGCTATTCTGCTCCTTGAACAGGGTTTTAAATTTAAGATTAAAAGCCATGTGCACGACCTGGGTTGCACCATCTCGTATACTGATGCCGTTGTTTTAGGCCCTCTCCGCGATAAAATCGATAACGCAGTGGCCAAATGCAACCGCCTCAAGCGTTTGCAACTTGCACTGGAGGAACGAGCAGAAAAAATACAGGTCGCAATCTGGCCGGCGGTTTTTTATGGTGCATTGGGCGTGGCCATTGGAAATCGACATTTTGTTACCCTT